GGATAGATGTCCAGCGCGGTGTAAACAATTGGTCAATTCAACCGCGTGTCCAATTACGAAATTGGCAACGATGAAAATACCGGGCCGGACTCTTAATTCGATTCAGCCAATTAGAATCTTCTCATTGTCCGTCCGTAAAGGGTTGAATACGCTTCTTGCCTCTCGCTCGTTGAGAGAAAATTTCTGCGGCAAACAGCATCGCTCGCTTTGTTCGAGAGATGACGTCTCTCTCGCATCCTGCAAGTTCTTCCGGAGCACTGAATATATGGAACTGCTATCGCCGAAATATAGTTGATTAACAAAGTTTCCCGTCAGTTGAATTCTTTCTCGGGAACAGGTCTGAGTTGCAATTAAAACTTGAGTAATAGACACGGGATATATAGAATGAAATAAGAGCAAGTAATACACGGCAAACTCGTAATTTTACGTGAAGATCCTTGCAAAATGCTTCCTCGTTGTACAATTGACAATTTAATGTAGTAAGGAAAAAGCTCTGATGTTTACTTAAAGTTTATTTTTAATATGACAGAGAAGCTACGTCAAAGTTTTTTGTAATTAGTACAGTGAGAAACGTGTAATTTGTGAAACCGTCAAATCCATCTACTGGTACTTTTACGGAATTTCTTTTTCTTGTCCTACTCTCTTTCGAAATTTAATCCTACAAAATAAGAGTAAACTAAGAGAATTGCTGCGCAATAACGTCATTAATGTAAATCATTATTTATAAAATTAGCTAAATTTACCAACACATTTATGTGCGTAATACATTCGTCAATTTTATTAACAACATTTATTTAGTAGATTTATTAAGATTACAGTTGCATTTCTACTCATAATAAAGTTATAAAATAATATAATAATAAATTGATATAATTAAATGATAAAATAAATATTGTAATAGATAAAGTATCAGTCAATAAAATAAAATAATGATAAAACTAACAATGTTATAACCGTGTAAAATACTAAAATTGCTTATGTTTTGAAAAAGTACGCATATAAAACGGAAAGAAATTGTTTAAACACAGAATGCTGCGCTCGTTTAATTACAATGTGGTGGTTTCCAAGATGCACAGCAGACCAAAATAAATTTAAGAAAGTATCGAATAAACAAACGGGTGTAGTCATTTTCTTGTTGGTCCGGAAACGGGTCAAGATCACGCGGGGCGCCGAGATGTATGGGCGATCGCCGGGAAAAATATCTCGCGGCCGACCATGAATTTAAACGGCTACCCGATATCACAAATTGCGTAATCAATCTAATTGTAAGTGGTGATGCTCAAACGTGATATCTGGAATATCGAGTCTCGATACTTGGATGCACAATCGAGGTTCTCAGAATTCATTTTATTTTTATCGCGATTTTATCCCGTGATAGATCAATCGCAATTAATGACACATTGTGGGACCTTTTTTTGCTCTAATCTTTTGTTTTTTCTACATATATATCACATGGGACATTATTTATCTGTTTATCGATGAACTCACGTGCTCCTAAACATCGATAAATCGTGAATTTTACGAACGTTATCGTTAGTGTCGATTAATAGACTTATCAATTCTAGAGATAATAAAAATCTGTATTGTTTTTTTAACATGTGATGACAGTATCTACTCAGGATGTTACAATTATTTATTTATAAGTATTTATAATGAATCTATTTATATATTATAGATATTTATTTATCTTTTATAATTTTGCAATCTAAAATTGAATTTCTTTTCAAGTCTCTTTAAGCTTACAAAAGTCGAGTGATGCGTTATAAAATAACGTAAATGATGCACAATCAGAACCTTTACATTTTCTCTCGGAAATCAATGATATTACTTGCGCAACAATGATTTCGATGAAATTATCGATAGCTCGTTACCGGGTGATCGCCGTTATTATCTCTTGCCTTGTCCTATCGTTGGGTGGATTATTATCGGATTGATTAACTCGATTATAGATTACCTTGTTAAAGCGAACTCGCAATGTGATCTCGAGACTTTCAATGTACTTTGAGAGTTTAAGGTCGTTTGGGAAAGGTTATTAAAAAAGCACTCAATACTGCAGGATGTAACAATGCTAGAAATTGAAGTTTGAAATATGTCTACAGACACGCGATCAGAAATTAAAGTCGATTTGAATATAACTATTGTTTATATCAAATGGTATATATATTTTATAATTCTTCTTTTATTTTTTAATTTAAGTTTTTCTCTTTGTACCCCTTCTTCTTTCTTTCAAAATAATATAAATGATGTGTGATTAATACGTAGGTAATGATGCAGAAAAATTAATTCGAAAAATGAAATCTTAAAACAAGTTATTTAATGATTCTGAATATATACATGCAAAAAATAATATATTTTAAATTTAATTTAAAGGTATTAATGAATTTTCGTTGATTTTGCTTAACCTTTTCCACATGTATATGCATCCTATTTTAAGCGCAGGAAATACAAGCGGTTGCAGCTGGAAAACAATTGCATTCTTAATAATCTCGTTATTTTTCTCGAAATGCAATATCTAAAGAATTATATTTGTATCATAGCACTAAAATGACCGTTTGTATCTAAAGTTAACATCGTTCGCGATTCTCTCACACGAGGGAAATAAAACCTCGAGTTAGACATTTATCGTTTAATTAGAAATTTATCGTTTGAACACATGATGGATATTAATATTTCGACGCACATTAAAAGCTCAGAGGACACGCGTGAAAGATATTTGCAAAGCAGATAGAAAAATTTTACGGGATGTTTTAACGTGGTATTTTTAAAACGGTATCGCGTAAATGTCGGGATCAAAGAATCGCGTAAACGCGAGATCCGGGCTTCTTCTGGTCCAACGACGATTGATGAACCGCAGGATCAGCGAGATCTTGTGCGAGATCCTCCCGTCCGTGTACGCGTCTTCATCGCGACATTGAGTGGGGGATGCGGCGCGAAAGAGAGAGAGGGAGAGGGAGAGAGAAAGAGAAAGACAGACTGTGAGTACGCGTATAAATACAAGCGGTCGCGTTCATACGCGCTTAGTTGCTGCGATACACGATCCACGTGACAGCCGTCGATCGAACGTGCCTTTCGTTCGACGCTATCTTGCGGCTTTCAACGTGCGAATTCGAACTCGTGTATACGTGTGCGTGATGTACGTGCGTGCGTGCGTGCGTGTCTGTTCGCCCGATAACGAGAGCGAAACGAGAAAGGAATAGAAAAAAAAAAGGGGACGCGAGAAAGAGCCCGCTCTTGGTCGCCCGGCCTCGTCATTTAACCTATTTGCGTGCGTGTTTAAAGAAAGAAAAGCAGAGAAAAAGGAATATATTTAATCGAGAAGAAGCAGAGAATCAACTAGCGAAGATTGGCGAGAAAAAAAATTTCTCGACACTGTTTATAAAAATAGAGCGGGACTTGTTGATGACCGGATTAGATCGATAGTTGATCGAAAGCGGAATGGTACGTCTTAGATTAGGTATAGATAAAGAGTAAATATATATAAATAAAAACAGCTGATTCTCTCTGTGGGGTCGACAATCGCGTATAGAGATTCCTACGTGCTCATCTCTCTACGGGCGTATCCGCCGATCGGAGCACGTACACAAACATGCGTACACACACATAAACGTGGTAGCGCGTTTTACGAGAGTGACCGCGTCGTCGGCGTCGCCGGCGTCGGGAGTGAAAAGGCGGTCGACCGCTTTGACTGCTTTCACCGACGAGCCGCGCCAGGTGGAATTAATGTTGCCGATCGCGCTTTAAAGTTCCATTTCGTCATCCGTGCCTTCTCTCTCTCTCTCTCTCTCTCTCTCTCTCTCTCTCTCTCTTTTTTTTTCTTTTTGTGAACAATGATGCTCCCCAAATCTTCGTTAAGGTCAACGAGATTTTTCCAAGGGTCTAGTAGTCGTGCACGGCGCGCGCTGACCGTTCGCTTGCGAGGCTAATACCTTCCGAGTGACTACGCTCATCCCTTAATGAAATTCTTTCTACCCGGACGCGACCCATTGGCTCGCCTTTGCAGCCAGATCGGGTTTTCTCATTATTGCGAATCCTTCGTGCGCGGCCCGATCGATGTTATTTTAGTCCGCCTTCTACGCGGTTGCAGATGCATCATTATCTATATATCGGAGAGCCTCGCGGGGCGCGAAAGAGCAGAGCGAACGGATGCGCACGCTTTCGTTGATTCGTTCGTTCGTTCGTTCGTTCGTTTCGCTTATCTTCGTGAAAAATGACGCTCGCCCGTCGTCGATAATCATCGTCGAATAATTTCTCCTCGTTCGAACAAGGTCAATGTGTCGATGTGAAAAGTCGATTATCGAAACGCCACGATCAGAATTGTGAATTTTATTTAGTCCGAATCGTCCAGTATATAGGACGTTAAATCGACAGTGTCGCGAGAGATTCCTCCGGTGTTTTGAAGTTTGCGGACACCGCAGCGTAACCTTCGGCAACCTCGTCAGTGTATAATATTGAATTGTATAATATTGAAACAACCGCAAAACACTCGTAGCGAACACTCTTGTGGAGTTCATTCGTTCGCGTATACTTAAATTCCCATTGGATACACTCGACGTGGATATCTAATCTGTGAGTAGCGTTATCTCAGACGATTAAATCCGGTCAACGCCATCGCGGGGATAACCGAAGCGATTCTTCACAGAACTGATTTGTAAAATCGGTAAAGATATATTCCCGCATACGTCATCTCTTTCCGATTCTGCTGGTGTGTAAGATATATTAACGGAATTTCGCGGAAGAGATCGATCTTTTCGACGCGGATTTATTTTCCCCTCATCCGACCCTCGACGACCTCGCTGTCGTAAGACGTTAACCCGGCATTAACGATATCAACGGGGAAATCAACGTCTCTCATCGCCGGTCGATGTATAAACCAAGTAAATACTTAATCTAGACGCGAGCTGACCTTCGACGTGACCCCGATACAAGATACGAGAGAGCTCGACGCTCTCTGCGATGCGTAGTACGCGATTGTGAACTGTTCGTCATACGTGGCCGTTAGAATGGAAACAGCCAAGATGTACATCAGCAACGAGCCGCAGAATGGCCATACGACTACCAAATTCGCCTCGACGAACTCCATCCCGGCGATGATGGAACAGGAGTCGTCGTTGGCGAGAATCCTCGGCGCGGTTGGCAGGCAACGCGAGAACGCGGCGATTCTGCGGGATTCGAAGAGTCGCCGGCACAGCGTCCTCGAGGATCTGAAGGCTCGACGGGACAGCCTCTTTCAGAGGGCTCGTCGAGCCAGCGTGTTCGACGAGAAGGATAACAACGCTAAGGATACCGTCAAGAACAACGCCAAGGATAACGCCAAGGATAACGCCAAGGACAATAATGCGAAGGATAAGCCGAAGGATAAGAGGAGGAGCAGCGATAGCGGCAGAAGAAGCTCCGTATTTTACGTGTCCGAGGATTTATTAGAGGAGAATCAGGAGGTGCCGGTAAACGAGGATTGCGACCGCGCGGTTCAGGAAGCCAAGAAGGGACGCCGCAAGTCCTGGCATCCGCTCGTTAAGCCGCCCAAGTTGGATCGAAAGAGGAGGAAGGGCGTGGAAGAGGAGGAAGGGCGTAGCCGGTATCCCCTCGCAGACCGGCAGCACGGAAGGGCTTTATTCACAGAATTACGTGCGTCAGAAGAGACCGTCCTGGTGGAACATCTTTGTACCGGACTCGGTCGTCAGGTATTTATTTATCTCGCGATTATTGTATCATTATTGCGCGAACGTGAGTACCCGTTGCTTTACGATCGCGTAGTCATTGGAGCGGTTTTTGGAAGGTAATAAAATCGGTGTAATTTCGTTTTAGAAGGATAATTGAGGTAAGAAAATGAAGCATATGAATTCTCTGGATAGATGTTATTTAAATTTTATAATTAAAAGTATGAACTTATAAACATTATATTTTTTTGATACGTGTGTATTTGATAATAACAGAAAATAAGGGAGAAAAAAAATTTGCAACCCACATGGATAATATTACTTTCTGAATAATTTATTTTATATTTACATCACTTAATTATTTGATAAATAAATGTCACGGTTAATTTTAACGAATAATTTACGTCACTTATAAGTAATAATAAACGATTGATTCGTGACATAATTTGCGTAAAAACATTTTTCGCAATAGCCAAAAAAATTACGCGATAAAATACAAGTAAACTATACTTCGAAATGCTATAAACGACCGATACATGCGATAATCTCCAATATTTAATACCCAATGACATTCATATTGATATATTTGTATGTGTTTCTACCTCCAATTCTGATAATTAAGATAGCGGTGCAGTCTCGATATTGAATTAATTCTCAATAATTTTCAATAATTCCATGAAAATTACATCTTCCACAATTTCATGTCGATGTAATTTTAAACCATGATATTACATTCAATTTGTAGCGCCGAATAATTTCAGATTATCATCATGTTATAATAATTGTATCGTCAATAACGCCAAATCGTCATTATATTTTGCGCAGATATAGATAATTCACAACTCGTTTTTAAAGTTATATCTTTATCAATGTTTTGATATTATTGTGTATTGATATATATAAGTAGACGATCTAATTTTAAAGGAAAAGAGTGTTGTTTAGGTAAATATTTGGAAATGTCACTCGAAATTATTATCTGGGCTAGATAAAATCTTTTGTCTTTTACCAGACGATGAGAAAGCATCACCGTTTCGGATAACGGCATGTTCGTCGTAACGGTATTTTGCGAGAATAACGACAAATCAAAGGTGTTTGCGCGATGCAAAAACGGCATACAAGAAAATTTCGAAATTTTCGAAAATATTAAAAATGATACTTGCCGGAAGAAGAAGCATTATAAGATTTTTTTTTTTAGTTCAAACAGCTGAATCAGTATCCACAATTTGAATATAAATGTTTAAACGTTCAATTTGTTTTTCCGTCAAACACTCTTCTCGATACCGGGTAAAGAATTTATTTGTTTTACAGTTAGAGTGAAAAGTAAAAATATTATTAGCAAAAACAACGAATATTTCGAATGAGAAATGCGACAGAGATTCATCGTAAAACAAAAATAAATAAGATTTCCGAGGTTCCGATTAGGTCGAGATTAATATCTGGCGTCATCCTGTTTTCATTCAGTATTCCGAAAATAATGTGACGTTTTTATTACGAGGAAATAGAATTTTCGACACTTTAATATTTCCACGCACACAGTGTCTCGAGAAAATTTCATGAAAGTTTCCTCGTTGCATTGCGATCTCGCGATTTCTCTACGAGAGACTTATTCGCGGAAGTCATCGTGAAAAAGTACCGCCGGTTTGCCTTCACAATTCGCTATAAAATCTATCTAAACTGGCGGAACCGAACGATTACTCCGATGAACATGCTTGGCGAATAATCGAACGTAGAAAGTTTCGATTTTAATTGTATTACATAACTTACGTGCGATTTCTCGTGTATTATGCAAACCTGAAAAAAAAAATAGATCTTATTCTATTTCTTGAGTTAATTGCAGCTTTATTTGAAAAATGGTCCAAACCACTCTTTTGGGGAAGAGAAAATTCATCAAATAAATTAATTAACTTTTGATTAACTTTTTATGTGAGAAATCATATAAAAAGTTTAGCAATTAATTTCTGTCTTATAAAAATGGATTTGACTATTATTATATTTCGAGATTATTTTTTTAAGTTACAGAAAAATGGGTAATTAATCAAAAATAATTCTAAGATTTTTTTTAAAGATATGATCACACGTAATGATTTATGTTTCCGTAATGATTTATACATATTTATTTATTGTATTTACTTATTTATTATAAAGTGCTTTTAAATTTCTAGCGAAACACTGAAATATAAAAACGGGATATTTCATGTGGTAACTGTTTTCAGAAATCATAAACAATTCTTGTTTGCAAATAGCATTTGATATTTTCTCTGTATAATAGAACCGGAAACAATAATCATTTTTAAATATTTCGTCATCGTTGAATTGATAATACCCTGCAACTGCGTTATTGACATCGTGTGATAACAACGTTTACATTATTTAATCAGCATAATGCTGATAACCTTTGTCATATATACGATTCATTACGATTCTTATTGTCAACGCTACCGTCGTTAAAATTTTACGTTAAAAAATCAGTTTAAACTCCGAAAATTCGATCACGATCTTTTCAATTCTTTCTTTCTCTCCCTCTCTAACAGATTTATTTTTTTTTTTGTAATTTTTATATAGAGGAATTAATTTTATTTGTTATAATAATAACATAATTCATGCATCTTTTTAATTTTCTAAAACTATTCTTCGGTTGGTACACTGATTAAAAGCTAAAAATGAATTGTCTAAACTGTCTAAAGAATTAAGTATATTTCTATTTATTATACATTGAATTCAAAACAAAGGAACATTAGTCTCGACGCGATCATTTAGTATGTTTCTTTTTTTCGCGACATTTTTCTTGCATGAATGAAAGTCGGACAACTCAAAAAATTCCGATTCGTCAGGATGTCAGGATGGATCACTCGAAACAAGAATACAGGCGAGAGCCTCTTTATGACTCGCACAAACCGGTCGCGAACGTCTTAAAATAGTCTTCCCTTTCGTTATCTTTTTTTCTTTCGCGGCTTTTCACCGTTTCTCTCCTTCTTTCACAAACAAAGAAATGCTTCAAATACAAAATATTTTATCAGATTATATTATGCTTCAATACTTTCTCATTAATTAAATTATCTCGGTGCATGTAATTATACTTTACATAATCTTTTTTTTTTTTTTTTTTTTTTTTTTTTTTTTTTTGATATAATATAATTCAATATTTTCTGAGATAATAATATAATCAGCTTTCTGAAGTCGTTATCTTATCATATGTAAATGTTTTTTTATTTTTGGATTTCATTATTATTTTAATTAAAACTGTCGTGGAACATTTGATCGTACAATAACGGTAATTTACACAGAAACTTTATTTCGTGAAATTTTGTTTACATTTTTTTCGCAATATATATCAAAGGTATCATGAATGCATCGCATATTTATGCAGCAATTACTTGTACACAAAAGCCAATGCGATATCGAACCTTGAAGGCAGATGTTACACATGTATTCAAGTACATCACGATCTTACATAATTCGCAAGCTCCTCCGACCGCCTTTTTATAGATCGACACGAAATTACCGGGTGTCATATCCCGTTCGCATTTTATAGAAAAGGTTTTGCATAATCGTGTTTGCGCGACTATTACTTTTCTTTCTCTAGCATCTTTAGACGCAATAGCAGTTATGTATTTTATTCGAGGACCTTATTGCGCTTTGGCCACATGTTATGCAAACGACAACGATTATTGTCATACGGAATATCAGTGCTGTGCTCGATGAAGCAACTAGCCGTTTCGATAAGAGAGAAAATGAGGCATTTCGTAGGATTAACATAAAACCTCGATAGAATATTTTATGGTGAATTTGAAAACAATGTTTTTTTTTAGCAATCTTGATATTATTCTGGAATTCTTTAAATTAAATTTTATTATTAAAAGTGAGAGTTTGTTAACTTAAAGTTTATTTGAGATTAAATAAAGAGGATAGTTTTCTACTTATGTTTTAGTAACATATAATTATATAGTCTAATGAAATTGCAAAAACCTTTTCTGTATTTGTTCACTTGTTTTTTTCTTATTTTAATTTATTGAAATGCAAATTCTGGTGTTAATCATAGTGCAATAAAAACCTAGCTCAACATATAATCGATGAAATTTAAAATTATTAAAAAAAAGCGTTAAAAAATTTAAATTCTTATAAAAGAATCGATAGAGAGAAGAGAGAGCTAAATATCTAAAAAATATTGTGTTAAATAATTTTTCTTACATTTGTATTTTAAAACGTTCGATATTTTTATTTTATAATATTTTATAATACGAAATACGAATTGTATTCTTGATCGACGGATTCAAGCGATTGACAATGCTACCTTAAGCAGTTGTCCCATTTATCATGAGACTCTGTCGTCTTTAAGCACGCAAGGTGTGTCCTTATGCGCCGGTCGCTTGCGTAAAGTGCGTGCGACGCAATTGAGTGAGACGGGACACGCCGTTACGCTCTGATTCCGCCATTTCTGATCGTTCCGATATCTTTTATGGCGATCCGAGCAAGTACAAGGCATCCGATAACGGCTTTTAAGTTGGTGGCCTCTCCAGCTATTTTTGCACCTTTTTTATTTCACCGGATACGAATTTCATAGCGTCGCGAATCGCACAAAGAACGTTACATATCATAAGCAGATTAAACTTTCCATACGGAAGTTATATATTCGACCGCGGTTTCCCTAATATTTATACATATCGGAATTGAAGCGCACATAATTGTTAATAAATTTCGATAATTGTTTCATTTATAGTTATTATAATTTATAATAAAATTAATATATTTCCATTATATTTTTTTAAATAATGAATTTTTTAAATAAAAGCTCACAATGGCTTTTATAACGATATAGAATTTTTTGAATTGAATATACAAAGATAAACGTGTACGCAGCATTCACTTTCGTTCCGTGCGGTTTTCAAATTGAACAGTTTATAGAACCAGAACATTTCACAACGATAAATAAATATTGCAGCAGCAATAAAACAATTTAATAATTTCGGCATTTTCTCGAATCCACGCTGATATGAGTCTCTGTATTGGAAAAAAAAAAAACTAAT